AACTGCGTACAACAAACATCTTAACCCACGTTGTTTTATTTCACCAGCAAGCTTTCATACTTGGCTGTTTTTATAGCGTGGCATGCTGCTATATTAGCCTCATACGGTACAGTCAGTTCGACCAGAACAACAGTGTTTGCCGACACCGACTGCACCACCACCTCGGGTCTTGCTCCTGTATCCTTTATGAACGCTGGGTAGTTTCTCATGCCATCCATATCTGCCAATCTCTGCCGTTATCCAGAACACTTCTTCCACTGCATACTTCATTTTTTGTTTGAACCAGCTCACCCTCTCTTAGAAAATGGATTTTTCTTAGTTTGCCGGTGGCCTTGAATTCACCTTGTCACAAACATTGGAAATGAGTTCCACTAGTGTTTTCAATACTTTGTTGTGCCTCCACGTATAACGTCCATGACTGAGTGCGTACTTGCAAGACGCCATTACGTGGGCCACCGTTTCCATTTCTCCACATAAGCTACACTTAGCTTCTCCTGTCACCTTCCATCTAGCAAGATTTGCTCCTGATGGTAACTGATCATACATGGCTCTTATAATGAACGCCAGTCTTAACGGAGCCATGTTCCACATATCATTCCACGTTAAACTTCCCTGTAGCACACCCTCCCACATTGTCCACCTGCCTTGTTGGTTTTGTTGTACGGCTGTCACCACTCGTTCCATGTCGTATTCTTTCCTTCTTTCGTTTATAATCATCTGTCCCCTCAGTTTAGTCGATGCCTTTGACCACCACGTATTTGAAAACCAGCCCACTCCATGTCCTGTACTTTGAACGGCTCTCCCAATCTCTTTAAACTTTAATGCCTCCTCCGCGACTTTTACTTCTCTTTCTGCGTTCCATTTTCTTCTTGTTTTTAACGATGGCTTCACTTTTTTCACACACTCGTCAGCTGAATTGTTCAACATCCATGGACACCTAATTTTTGCAACTTTGAATTCTTCCACCAGAGATTTCAGAGTAAGTCTTAGTAGCGTACTTCTACTGTATAACGCTAACGACGTCAGATCTGGAGGAAGTCCCAACCATTTACGTGTGTACCAGTTGATTTTTCTTTCAAGACTCTCTACTATGGGTAAGTTGACTTCATAAACTGTTAGAGGCCATAGAAGCTTTGGTACCATCACAAACTGAATCAACCATACTTTGAATTTGCCTTGCAGATCCACTTTGCTGACAATTTCCAAGTATTTTGAGCATGTGTCTTCTAATTTTCCTATCTCATCAACGTCCTTCAGACTGGCATGATACCATCTGCCCAAACTCTTTACTGAATTAGATTGCAGCACTGGAATCGCTTTACCGAATATTGTGAAATTTGGGTAGGTATCCAATTTTTTTCTAGTCAGTGACAAACTTCTTGATTTTCCCGGTTTGAATTTCATTTTGCTCTAACACTGCAATTCGTCCAGATTTTTTAACGTTTGGCGGCAGGTGATCGCAGAATTTGTCAGCACCGTGGTGTCATCCATGAAAGCCTTTAGCGAGGGCATGTGAACTCCCTTTCCAAGTGAGACTTTTGCACCACTAGCTGCGTCAAGCAAAATTTCCATAGCCAGTACAAAAAGCGTCGGTGATATTGCACAGCCCATGGCTATTCCTACTTTCAAATCCACTCATTTTGTTGTATATTCCTTTGATGTAAAACAAATCTTGAAACCCTCAAAGAAATTCTTTAAAATTCCTGTTATCTTGGCAGGTATATGAAACATTTCCAGCGCTTTCCACAGCAGGCCATGTGGCACAGCTCTATAGGCATTTGCTAGATCTAGCCACACTACATGAAAACTCAACCTATTACTTTTAGCTTTTTGAATTGCCTCCCAAATTGTTGCAGTGTGTTCGGTACACCCGGGGACTCCTGAGACACCACCTTTCTGCACCGCTGCACCGCTGTAATTTGTTCTTCTTGACAAACACATTTATTTGGGCGGCAATGACAGCCAAAAATAATTTACCTTCCACATTTAGCAAAGAGATAGGACGAAACTGCGACAGTGAGGTTAAATCTTTTTCTTTTGAAATAAAAACTCCATTAACAATTTGCCAGTCTTCATGAACAACCCCGCATTTCCAAACTTTAACTAGTAGTTTATGTAGAACTTTCACTGCGGCGGGATATCTTTTGTACAACAGATACGGTATTCCATTTGGACCAGGCGATGAACTATTTCTCCTTTTTGATAAGATTGTTTCAATTTCCCAAAGGAAAGGAGGTCTTAGAATAAAGTTGTACCCGGGCTTCTTTTTAGTCTTCAACATGTTATTTTCTTCCAATTCGCCAGCAGTCGTTGAATAGGTTCGTGCAAGGTGATCCTCCAGTTCCCTTCTCGAAACAATCAATTCGCCGGATTTTGGTTGTTCAAACAACCGTTTCCCAAAGTGGTATGGGTTGGCAAAAAAATCATGTCTAGCTTTCCTTTGTCGGTATTTCTTTGACCGTAACCTCTCCACTCGACGCAGCTGGCTCAGTTTTACTCTGATGTCATCTCTCAAATGAACTAGACCATCACGTTCTTCACCATATGCCATTTTCCATAATTTCCTCAGGCGTTTCTGCTCGTTTTTCAGCTGCTTTATTTCCTTCTGCCTTCTTGACATCTTTTAAATGGGTTTGAACAATGTTTCACGAAAACCAAACAGATTTGCACATTTTTCATACAAAAAATCCGTGAACAGACGGACATCAGATGAACTGCTCGCCATAAAGGTCCTGGTGATTTCAGCGTCCAATTTTGACCATACTATTTTCTCTGAGGCTAGAGAAAATTTAATGCGTTTTATGACTGGACATTCTACCAAATCCGACTTATCCACTTACGCTGTGGTTTTCATCCTGGTATGTAGATTCTGCCGTCTTACCGAACACTAGATTCGAGCGTTGCGACGTACTTGACAGACATCTAATCTTAGTTTGATGCACTTTCAATCCTCTTGAAGATGTGAAACCTCTTCCACATACACATTCATGACCACCTCCGCTATTTATGGGGTCCGTGGAGGCATTAGTCAAATTACCGGGTAGGTAATTACCTGTGAGCTCATCATTCTCCTACTTCTTGTATGTATATATGTATGTATATATGTATGTATGTATGTATGTATGTATGTATGTTTGTATGTATGTATGTATGTATGTATGTATGTATGTATGTATGTATGTATGTATGTATGTATGTATGTATGTATGTATGTATGTATGTATGTATGTATGTATGTATGTATGTATGTATGTATGTATGTATGTATGTATGTATGTATGTATGTATGTATGTATGTATGTATGTATGTATGTATGTATGTATGTATGTATGTATGTATGTATGTATGTATGTATGTATGTATGTATGTATGTATGTATGTATGTATGTATGTATGTATGTATGTATGTATGTATGTATGTATGTATGTATGTATGTATGTATTTTGTTGCTCCCTCCATAATACAAAAAGCATTAAATTTTTGTAATACTAGTGATATGATTGTTTTATATAGCGTTTGTCTTCCGGATTGCCGGAAACATCGATAACTTTAGCAATTAATTGATTAATAAATGTTTGTGTTTGCCCATTCAGTTAGGCTAAATGTTTCGATGCATACTGGTGTGAATATTTTGGTGTCATCATTTAAGGTGGCAAATTTTATTGTTTTTTGGTTCTCCGCTGACAAAACCAATAAATCTTTCGGTCATTTTGCAGGGAAAAATTACGTCCCACGCCAAGGAGCGTTCTTGGGCCCATGAAACTACTGTGTATCCATCAGGTCTGTAGTTACCATTTTCAAGCAGCTCAACTGGCTCCCTTATTACCGGAATGACAGCTATTTGAAAAACTCTGGCTAAAAAATCATTGATCGCAGAGTGTCGGGTTTGCCTTCCTGATCCCAACCTACAATACATTCCATGGTAACCCAGCAGTTCCAATCTTGCACCACACTTGCAATCATACTTTATAATCACAGGCAACCCCAATCTCAATCCAAAACTAACACGAACGCCAGCATCATCCATTCTGGTACCACAGGCAGTGCTTGGGACCGCTCTCAACCATTTGGAGCCCAACACACTCCGAACTGCCATGATCCTGGCTTTATCATGTATTGAGTTGGTAAGCGAGGATAATCAATCAAGCGATTTAATGATGATGCGTGCCATTCCTTTTGCAGCACGGTATTCATGTCAACGTCTTCCCCAAACGCTGCCTTCCATACATACCTTCGCTCTGACGTTATCAACATACGCTATATCGGTTGGTAACAGCATATTTTGTATAAATACCGTGGCAGCAACTGTAGCCAAAAAGAGAGAAGGTGCCAGCTCAGGCACGGATCCTAAACTTAGGCCGACAGGGGCAAAATCAGAAAAATTTTGAAAACATTTTCGAAACAAACACGTAGCGTCCTATCGAAACATTCCGAAATTAAAACCTCCAGGCCTGGAGACGTTCTCAAAAATACGTCAAACAGAGCAAGTGAGCCGCCTGCAACAAAAGCATCAACGCATCGTGCTTTGAAATAATGTATGGCATGTTTATGTATGTATGTACGTATGTGTGGATGTATGTAGCTACGTACGTATGAATGCATGTACGTATGTATGGGTGTACTGTACATTGTACAAATAAACACTTAAAAATGAAGATGCCATCATTAGCATGTTGCTATGGGGACGATGATTAGAGAGATTAATAAAACGACGATGGTGATTGTGACGGTGCTGATGACGACAGCAATGATGATATTGTCGTGATGATGGTGATAACGATGATAATTAATTAAATGATACAAATGAATAACTACAAAAGCCAATTAAAATAGCCATTTAATTGGTTTGAAAAACAAATCAAATAATTAACTAGTCAATCAACCAACCAGCAAACTAGCTATGTAACCGACCAAAAATCCGGATATCTAACAAAGTAGCCAGCTTGCTAACCAACCAACCAACCAGCTAATCAACAAATCAATCAATCAACCAAATAACTAACCAACCAACCAACCTTTAAAAATTAGATCGAACTTATTCAGCCATGAATTCAGAACAGTCTCCTTACTCAGTCCATCAATCTCTGGCAGACACCTGACTCGTTTTTCAACGTTGTTCTTAAAAACTTCGCGCATGTCGGTGTAGGAGCAGGCTCCACTTTGCACCATTCTGAAATTGATGGAATGCCAGGGAGATGTGTGAATAATAAATGACTAAATTAAAAATGAAATGAAAAGATTCATGGAATGATTGAATAATAAACAGTTTAAGTAAGTTATGAAAAATATGAAGAAATGATGGATTAATTGGATGAGTAGTGGCTTGGTTGGTTGATGGATTGAGATAGATGAAAAAATTAATGAACGAAAAAACAACAGATTAAATAAAATACTGTTTAATGGATTGTTCACCTATTAATTAATTCATTTGTTCGTTTGTTAAATCATTCGTTTGTTCCACTGTTCAGTTGTTTGTTCGTTTTGTCAGATTTCATTTCAATTACTTACCAAGGATAACCCCCAAGAAACTACTCAAGCTTTTATTCAATCATTCATTTATTTATTCATTTATTTATTCATTCATTCATTCATTCACCGATCTATTCATATTCATTCACTAATTCATTCGTTCATTCATTTGACCAACCTAACAATCCTGTCACTCTTAAGGAAGACCTCCAGGAAACTGCTCACCGCATTCACGAACGCCTCATCAGCTGGAATGTTCATCTCGCCATTTAGAAACGACTGATGGTGATTATTATTATTATTATTATTGTTATTATTATTGTTAATATTGTTATTATTGTTGTTGTTGTTACTGTTGAGATGACGATGATGACGAATATGGAAGAAATGACCGACATCAATGCTGACGATAATTAAGGTAGCGGCGATGAAGTAAAAATAATAATTCTTGCAATGGAAATTTTTTATTTAATCTTGAATAATTATCAAATAATTATCGGCATACACCAAAATGAAAATAATGAACTACAATGCCCGTCTTACAGTTAAAATGAGTACACCAAGAAATAAAATGAGCTGACTTGAAATCGGTCTTTTATAGCCGAGAGTTGAGATTTGGTCACTTTCAGCTGTCTCTTGACCATATCTGTCGGCTGTTTGGCGTTGAATGGATAAGCTATGCACCTAAGGTAGATGGAATATTTACTATTAATTTTATTTATATCATTTATTATTATTTCTATTAATAATTGTTTATTTTGCTATAATAATTTTAATGATCAGTGCTCGTTATTATTATTATTATTTTATTATTTTTATTGTTATTATTGGAGCAGAGGCAGACCTGATGACGAAGACGTAGAGTTGCAGTCTGGTTTTCCTATCATCATCCTCCTTGTCAGTTGTCGTTGTGGCCGTCGTTGTTGTTGTCGCTGAGGAGGACCTGAGTGTGAATTATTTTGATTCTCACTGTTAGCGCTGTTGCTGTCAGTGCTGTCGTTGTTATTAACATTATAATTATCCCCATGATCGCCGTCACTGTTTTCATTGCATTGATTGCCATCCCTACATTGCCACAACTTTGTTAACGCAATCACCATCTTTCAAAATTTTTTTAACAAATTCATTTTCTCAACCAGCATCAGCATCAACACCAACAATCCAGCAACATCAGCATCATCATCAGCATCAACAACAAAATCAACAACAACAGCATCGGCCTATCCACAACCTTTCGCCATCATCTTTATCCTTATCTGAAGTGAAAGAAGCGCTGGGACTCATTCCTCTCTGCTGATTGGACGACGAAACCGGGACGGTGGCAGCCGAACAGCCAATAGGAGCTTCAGAATTTAAATCTAAGATCTGTGATTGGCCGTAGCTAATTAAACTAGGCGATCTAGACTGTTTCTGATTAGGTGAAAACGCATCGAGGGGTAACACATTTTGATTTAAACTTTGATTCTTTGGAATCGGGGTCGGACTAGTACTGTAGTAGGCGGAGTTAACAAAACCAGATTGGCTTGTGAAACCCCATGTGGGCGGAGATAATAAACCAACAGAATGACGGGCCGTTAGCAGAGATGGGTTGACGGGTGTGTCTAAATAATTGTGGGCGTTGATTGACGTGGGAGGTGCGGGAGTTTCGTTGAAATGGTTGATGTCTTCTGTCTCTTCTTCTTCGCTTGATGACGGCTCCAACATTTTGACGGTAAAGATGGAAGAATGTAAATGAATGTGGAGAAATATTTGCTGGTATTTATAAGGATGATGATGTTATTAGTTTAATATGCCATGACCCTTTTATTGATGTGATGTTGTTGATGATTTTTGGTCTTGTTGTAGTTGTTGGCACTTTGTATGACCGTATTTCTGATGAAGTTACTGCACCGATGTCATGTCGCAATTAACAACGGCCTTTAATTGTAAATAAATTTAAATAAATTTAAATAAATTTAAATAATGTATTTCGACCTCAATTGGTAATAACATGACGATCATGAATGTGCAGACAATGATGATGACATGATAGTGATCATAATAATGATGATGATGATGATAACACGATGATGATGATGATGTAATTGAAAGTGTTGATGACTTCAAGATACACGACTTGTTGTTGATGCTGATGTTGATGACATGATAGTGATCATAATAATAATGTTGATGATGATGATAACACGATGATGATGATGATGTAATTGAAAATGTTGATGACTTCAAGAAATATAAACCGATATAATGGTGATGATGATGTCAAAGATGTTGACGATGATGATGATGTTGACAATGATGAGGATGATGTTGACAATGATGACGTCACAGCTCTGGGCGGAGAATAACGAAGAGAGAGGTAATTTTTCACGGGAACATATTGTCTTCTTTCCAACAGTTTTTTAAAACTTTTCAAGTCGTATTAACATTATTATTTATATAAGGATGTTTTTATTCAATTATTATTATTATTCAGCATAATTACTATTTTGTTGCTGCTGTTGCTGCTATTGTTAATAATTATTCCTTAAAATGATTAACAATAATTGATAATACTACTACTACTACTAAAAATAATTATTATTAAAGTTAACATTTAAATCATAATATATACATATAACCATATAAATATATATATATATATATATAAACCATATAAATATAAATATAAATATATATATATATATATATATATATATATACCAGAATATATTATATTAAATATTTATTCAATTATTAATATTATATATTGAATTAAATACGCAATGCTATTCTATATTTACCAATAAATTAAACATCAAACTGGCACGTATAGAAAACTTTAAAAATAGTTTCTGTATCTATTTCCTGCTGCTATCACTTACCATCATCATAATAAATAAATTAATAAATTATCATTGATACTAAAAGGATACAAATGATAGAATATCAACACGATAAAATGATATATATATATATATATATATATATATATACACACAAAAACAAATTTAAAAAATGTAACTTACATTGCATCAAATCACACTGCATATAAATCCCCACAATCTGAAAATATTTGAAAAACCTCCCTACAGCCACATGTTACAAGGTAAAAAACAACATAGGCACATACGCTCTTATACGCATATATATATACATATATATATATATATATAATATACATATATTATATACATATATATTTATATATATATATATATATACGCAAACATGTGTGTATGCATATATATACTCACATGTTTTATATATTTATTGACAATTTATATGAATATATATGTATATATATATTATACATATTGAATTAAGACTGTCAGAAATGCAATTATTGATGAAAATCACAGCTTGTTTCGCGTTAGTTAACTTCGGATTCGAAAAATTAAATATGGAGCTAACTAAGGCGGAACATGCTGTGGTTTTTATATACATACACACACATGCATATGGAAATCCGCGTGCAATATAATGGGATGGAAGAGAGGTGTGGTGGTGACGCGAGCAGGCTTGTGCTGACAAGAGCAAGATGTACGTACTACTTATACACGTATATGCACGTATACATGTATATTATGTGTGCATGTGTGTGTGTGCATGTGTGTGTGCGTGCATCTACGACGAATGGTTTATAAAATTCTCGGAAGTAACTCTACTATTTAGATTTAGGTGATGATTATGTAATTAACAAAGAAGTGTGACTGTAAAACAAGGTGACGTCATGATGAAAGCGTCATTTGACGCAAAAGTGCGATTCAGAAACATAAATATAATAAATTAAGTCGCAAATTAAGTTCTTCAAAATAACTTTATATGCCCCCACTATTATTGTCAGTTAATATGATATCATTAATCTGTATTTTCGTTATTTTATTTTATTATTGTTGATATTTATTTGTTGTCAGCGAGTTGGCGAATAGCTTAGACGTCAGAGCTCACCTGGTTCGAATGCCGCATCTGCCAAATTCGAAACCTGTTCCTTGTACGATATGGCGCTGAAATGGTGGAGTGTGCAGTGCGAATGTGCGTGTTATAAGTTGTAAGGTTGGTGTCTGGTACACCATCTTCAGTGCAGGTTTGGTTTATATAGAATAGAATGCAGCTATATAAATCTATTCATGGTGTAGATGTTCTCGTGAGTGAGGGGGGTTGTGGTTGGCAGGGCTTTGTTTTGAATGGTCTGTGGAGCTGTTTCTGATGGATTTGGAGTTCAGATTTGGCAGGCGTGTTTTATAATTGGTTTAGTTGTTGTTTTGCACGTTCGTATGGATGAGAGTTTCTGCGTCCTGACCCCAATCTGTCTCCGAGGAATGTTGTTTCTGTTGGTGACTTTCTTGATCGAACTGCGGTGATGTTGGGAGGTGAGCGTTGTATCAAATGTTAAACCAAGTATTTCGTTGTTGTGTTCAAGTGGCCGTGCTGAATTGTCCATTCTTATTTCAGAGTGGGTGTGATGAGGTATCGTTGCAGTAGCTTGGTTATCGAGCTGGAATTTCTAATTTACTTTAAAAAAGTTTGGACGGTTTGGAATTGTTTAGTTAGATAGTTGATATCTGGTGCATAGAATTGAGTTGTGAAATCAATCCACGCCACACGACGCACATATACATTATGTATGCACCGCATCGTACGTGTATGACGGTCCTTGAGTTTTGGATTGACAGTATTAGAACCATGTCATCGCGTAATCACAGCGCGAGACATGACACGCTTACCGATTGAGCTACTCTGTGACCAACTAACTTGGTGCCATTCTTGGTGAGAGCACTGAGAAAGATCAGTGGTGGTGTTGTTGGGTTTGATTTGTGGTTGTGTTGCCGAATTCGGATGTTGTTCTTTCTTTCCTTTGAATAATTTGACCACCATCTTACTACGCATATGGGAGTCTTTCATGTTTTCCATCGTTAGTTAGTTCTGTCGAGAGTGGCTGTCAACATTTTTAATGGATGCAGAGAGGTGGTTGTGAAAATGTTTTAATTACACAGGGTACGTTGTTCATGGGCAGGAACATTGTTGTACTTCAATTTGATAAGAACACCAACACATGTTGTAACATTTATTAATCTTTTCAATTATAACTACATTGATGCATCTCATCATAATTTCGTTCTTTCACACAAACAACAATTTGAACGTGTATAAATCGATGCGAAATCATTTTGTGCTGTGCTTTTTAAATTATCAAAATGTAAATGAATAAATGGCTGAACGAATGATTTAATGATTGAATGACTGAATGAATGAATGAATAAAGAAAAATAAACAAAACCCGAGTTATAAATTTCTTCACTAATAATAATAACAACAATACAATGTGATTGATCGGATGATTGAATAAACGAATGAATGAATGAATGAATAAATGAATGAACAAATGAATGAATAAAAAAATTAACATATAAATGTAAAGACGGAACAACAAACAAATGAAAGAAAGAATGATTGAATGACACAAATTAAGTTTGAAGATAAAATTTTTTTGTATTAATTAAATTGATAAAATTAGATAAATAAAATTAGATACTTTTAGTCTGAGTGAAAGAATAGATGTAGATGTGTAAATGAAATAACAACGAAACAAATATGTGAAGAAATGATTGAATGAATGATTGAATAAATGAACGAGTGAAAAATTAAACAAATGAACAAACAAGAAAATAATCGATTGAATGAAGCAAATAAAAGAATTAATGTAAAAAAATAAATTAAACTGAACAACTACAAAAATATGAAGTTATTTCATTTTATTACAAGCATTTTAAAAATTATTTAAAAATTATTTTTTCTTATATATATATATGCAGTAATTTATGAAAATCTACCGAATTTCTAGTTCTTGCCGTTAAGAATTAGGTTAAAAATATTGAAAAATGTAATAAAAGAAAACTATCCAACGCTAGAAATTCGGTAGATTTCATAAATTACTGCATTAATTGTGGTCTTCTACCGGCATTCATCAAGGTATCTACGACCAACCGAAGAAACTTAACAAGCGAACACGAACGTGAGCAACGAATGCTTCATTTTTGTCGTCAGTTAATAGCGAATTTAGTCTCTCAGTTGTCTCAAAAACTAAGTAATTATGAATGACGACAAGAATTGTGTTAGAAATATTGAGAAATGTAATAAAAAACTATCCAACGCTAGAAATTCGGTAGATTTTATAAATTACTGCAATAATTATGGTCTTTTACCGGCATATATATATATATATATATATATATATATATATATATATATATATATATATATATATTTTTATTTATATTTATTTATATATATACGTGTATTTATATGTATACGATAAATTTTACAAAAATAAATAATTATTAAATTATAATTCACCACATGAAATATAATCACCGATATCATCAATATCAGAAAAAAAATAATAAAAACAGAAAAATAATAAAAATTTATGATTATTATTATGGAAAATGAAATGAATAATAACGATACAAAATAATAATAATATTATTATTATTACTTTTGAAATAGTGCTAACAACCAATCATAGAGGCTTATCTAATAACATTAATAATAAATCCAATTAATGAGTACATCATTAGCTTAAAATAGCATGAATTATCAAAGTAAGGGGCTTCTCGTTAGCACAAATTAGCATGATGAGTTTCTCATTAGCATAAATTAACATAAATTTAATTACTAAGCTTCTCTCATTAGCATAAGCTTAAAATCATTGGCATAATTTAAATCAACACATTAGATCAAATTAATTAAATCTGACATAGATAGCAGCGCGTTCCAAATTAATATTAATCAGTGAAAATAACTATCTTAATAATAAAAATAACAACATTAATAATAGTAATAATGAGGCAAGCAACATCAACCGTGGACAACCATGAATAAAATATTAAAACAACAACAACAACAATAACAACAACAACAACAATAATAATAATACAATAATACCAATGCGAAGATTTTAAGCGAAGACACCATGAAACTCCGTACACTGCTTATTGATATACATTATGATTATTATTATTATTGTTGTTATTATTATGATTATTCTGTTGTTACTTTCATTTTCATCGTCTTGGTTAACCTAATTATTATTGTCAGTATTGTTATTACTATTATTATTATTATTGTTGTTGTGAGTATAAAAGCATAAAAACGAAAGATTCACCCAGTGACGTAATTAAATAAGAATTAATTAATAATGACTAAATGAAAAATTCAGTTATTTTTATAATAAGGAATAATTAGTAGTAATATAGTTAATATTAAATTATCATTATTATAAAATTACTAATTATTATTAAATTAATATTGAATTAATAATTAATATTAAATTATTATTAAATTATTATCTTTAATAAATTATTTTTCTATCAAGGAGAGTTCTAGAATCTTCATCATTTCTTCTTCCTCTCTCTGCCTCATCATCTTCTCCTCCTCGTTCTGCTTCTCTGAAAGTTCTAGAGCTAACCTGTCGTCATCATAATCATTCATCATCCTCCAAATCATCCTCATCATTACATCATCTTCTTCACCATCGTTGTCATTAACATTATATCATTATTAGCATCACTATCTTCAGCACCATCATCATCACAACCATCCCCATCGTCATCATCACAGCTATCATCATCATGCTACTTATCTTCATTTCATTAAACACGTGAGCGAAATCATCATCATCGTCACCGTCATCATCATCATCATTATCGTCACCGTTATCATCATCATCATCATCATCACCTTAATTGTTCATCGAAAACTTCGGAATTCCCCACAGCGTTGTTATCAAAAGCAGCTGCAGCTCCATCATCATTTTCAGCTATAGCTACATCTGTATCTGCATCAAGAACAACTTGAGTAGGAGTAGCTAGCTGCGTCTGATTGAGAGCTCTAGCCTCAGATGATGTGGCCGTTGTGGAAGTTGGCGGGATGTGGTCCCAGCTTTTGCTTTCTTTCAGGCTTTCCTCCAAGGCCCTGTTATACATAATTTAATAAATTTTAAAAAAATTAATTAATTAAATTAATTAATTAATTATCTAAATAATTAAGTATACCCTGGACGAGCGAGTGAAATAACAAATAAATGAAGATGTGGATAAATAAATGAATGAAAGTGTACACTGATTGAGAGCTGAAATATAAATACGCGAATAAATGAATGTGTCCCCTCAACTCATTCAAACGTATTGAAACATTCTTAAAGTTGTGTACCTATGAAATGAATGAAAAATAAATAAATAAATGAAGGAAAGAAGGAAGGAATGTGTAAAAAATTAATTTTTTTGATTATACCATTGTAGAATCCTATCTTCTTCAGAAATTATCCTCGTATGATTGCTCTGAGTTCTCTTTAAATGATTATCCTAAATGAATTAAGTAAAATTCTATTCATCAATTCAACAATAACAAACAAACAACACACGTTTAGACGACATGATAAAACCGAAATACCGAAATGAAACATCAATTAACAATCCATTCATTAACCCATTTATATATCAGCCAGTTGAAAACTTCAGCAGTGAGTGTAAGATAAAACAAGTGAAGAGAAGAAGAGACATAGACAAGACAGAGACACAAAAACTGCTCAAGTGCGTTGGCATTAAAAGAAAATTGTGGAAGCCTTCCAAATCACAAGACTCGCTATTGGAAGTATTGTGCAGTTTATGGCTCAGTTTGGTATTCACCGTAGGAGCCTTGTATGACAATTTGAGTAAAATAAAGTGTAAATCTCGCCGAGTGAAAACTGTTTGCAGTCAAGGTAGCTATGTGGATGAGAGGAAACAATAGCCCATGTATATCTTCAATCCCAGTCATTAAATGTGGGGCGGAACGAAGTTTTGAAAATATTAGTGGAATTTATTTCCAACGGTTGCAGTGAGGCATGTACAATGTTAATATAACGAACATTTATTTCCCCCAAAAAAGGTGAAACTAATCAAACGTTTATAATGAAAACTTAACAAGGAAAGTATTCGCGATAATAAGAGAGACATTGGTAGGTCACGAGAGGTTTGGATGGCGAGAAGAAATACCTCGTTTTTATAAAGAGATAAGAAATAAAATCCAGCATAATAATTAAATCGTTATTCGCAGAAATTGTTATTTCTGTCAAAATAAATCTATCTATTTCTATTTAATGATGCTTATATGTTGCTTACTAAGGCAGACACTAAAAAGAGCTAAATACAAAGATTTTTTGGTAAAATTAAAAATATTGAAAGCTTAAAATTTAATTATATTTAGAAATATCTGGATTATACGCGTTCTCATATTGGAACGACATGCCGACATACTTAAAAATAATAAAATAAAATTTTCAAAAAACCATTACTTTTATTTTATAACAGTTTTTCATAAATTTTCGATTTTACTTGCAAATTTTCTACTTCATTTTCACAGTCTAATTAATTTTCTCTGTAGGATGTCTTCCATGTAGGATAATTGTGACTGAGTCAAGACCTTCATGTTTGTTCTATTGGTTTAGAATGATACGTTTGTTTTCATGTTCTCAATAGGGTCCCTAAAATAGCATTTTACTGCCCTGAAAAACTCTTTGCTTAAAATGTTTTTTTTTTAAATAAAAGTTTCAATGCAATACAATGTTTTTTGTACAGTTGTCTGAAGATTTGGTGAGAGAGAGAGACAGCAGTACTTTAGGAGAAACATTGAACGTTCGATGTGCTTTAGTTTCTCAAAAGAGTTAGGAAATATTTGTTAACGGAGAAAACCTTCATCATGCTGGTAGCTTATTCAGAATTTTACATACATTAATTCATCCATCAATCTATTAATTCATTCATTCACTCAACCATTCATTCATATATCCATCTGTTCGTTCATTCCGCCATCCATTCATTTATTCATTCATACAATCTCTCATTCACTCAATCAACCAGCTGACCAACTGACCGCACTACTCATTTCTTGCTGCTGCCTCAGACTCTCCCTCATGGCATATTGATAGAACTCATCATCTTCATCTTGCAAGCGTTCGTGATGTAGTTCACCTAATATCATTACCGTCAGTATCACCATTAGTAGTAGTAGCATTGTAACTATTATTTAATAGTAACAGCAGTGATACTAAAAGTAGAACTGACAAAAGTAATAATGGTAAAGTAATAGTAATTGTAACTGTAGTAGTAGCAGCAGCAGTAGTTGTAGTAGTAGTAGCAGTAGTAGTAGTCGTAGTAGTAGTAGTAGTAGCAGCAGCAGCAGCAGCAGTAGTAGTAGTAGTAGTTTACTGTTACCAATAACGCTGTAAGAGGCGGGAATGGCGAAAACAGAATCGTCGATGGCACAAGCGTCGCCGGACGCCCCGCTCTGATCCCCCGGAATGTACATCACTCCCTTGGCCGGCACATCCCTACTGAAGATATTACTGAACGTAATCCGGGCGTTTAGAACATGGAAAACCGGGATTTCTGTGTGTGTTGGGTTTTTATGAGTTCGAGGTTAATGTTGATCGTTTGTGGAGGATTGGAGTAATAACAATAGTTAAACAATAATACATACAAGAACCATCATCTTCCTCATCATTGTCGCAATTGCTATCATCATCATCATCATAATCATCATTGGCATCATAATCATTTTAATCATCGTCATTAAAATAATAATCATCATTATCATCATCATCATTACCACAACCTATTTTAACAGGGAACCCGGCGGGCAGTTGGAGTGCGATGAAGTCTTTTAGTTTGCGAAAGTGGGTGTTGTTAGCTGCCATCAGATCTATTATTGGTACCACCTGATGGTGATGATGATGATTGGAGTTATGATGATAGTAATGATGACGATAATAATAATCACCATCATCATCATAATAATAATGAAATGATTGAAATGATTAAGATGATGGTGAAAATAATCATAATAATCATAATTAATAATAACAATAATAATATGATGATGATGATTGTAATTAAGATGACAATAACAAAAGTGAGCGTTATTAGCATCTTTTCAATGGATTCCAAACTCCACTCAACTAGATTATTACCTCAACTTTCAAAACTTGACAGCATTCCTTTCTCAAAACACGAAGTATGAACTTCATTGCTTATCAGTGGGGAATAAAATTTAAATTTTAAATGGCGTTCGAGATAAGAGACAGTCATGAACACATCAACTTATTTAACAGAATGAACTGTACTGTATTATTGTATTGTATTGAGAACTTGTAGAGCGACTCTACTTAGCCATCTTCAGAGGTGCTAAATGTGCTTCGTTTTGTTCAAAAAATGACGTTTCAAGCGGTTCAAGAATACCATACGACTTCTGTAAGTATTAACATTTAAAACAAGCGCCTATGACTTCCAAGTCTTAGCTGCTAAAATTGAAAACATCCTTGCACCGAAATGGATGTTTGAACAGAGGTAAGAAGATCTCCTTGCATTGCAGATCTCAGTCGATTTCTTTAAACTGAAATTAACGTCCCATTCAAATAAGAAATTAACATCTCTTTCCAGTTGAAAAGTTCTTTGAAAAGTTTTTTCAATTAGTCCAGTTTTGAATGTGCGTGAATGAAGACGAGCGAAACATTTCGTAATGAACATCAGTTGCTTAGCCTGGATTTGGAGTTCACTGCTTGTTTATTTGAAAATCAGGGTGATATGGTGAAAATGGCTAATCGACAGTTTGTTTTGAATGAGTTACTGTATTTTTTGGCGAGTAGTTCAAATTTGTGGGATAATGAGAAGTTTATTCTGAATGTTTCTCCTTGCTCTACTAACGAGAAAGTTGTGTCAGCACAGAAAAAATTGAAAATCGAGTTTGAAAGTTTTAATAATGTTAAAAATAATGAAAATTAATGGCATTCGGGAATTTGAATAAAGTGCAGTCATTTGGAAAATTTATGGAAATAAATTTTGAAAATGTTAAAAAGAGTTGAAAGGCATGCTTGATAAACAACAGATAAATAATCTTTTTACTCATTTAATAATGAAATGCCACAAAGATGTTGTTGCAAGATACCTAAAATCAAAAGAAATAAATATACATACCATCATGTTGTCCCGTGATAAAACGTACTGAAGAATCTAAAGATAAAGAAAATTTAGTTGACATTGAAAATGAACACACAATGATGTTTCGTGTATGTGTTGAAAGTTCTGATGGTCCAAAAATAAAAAACCCAGACATTATATTAAAACACATAATTATCAGAAATTGGCAATTTAAAGAAAGGAAACCAATGAATGTCTCTGATACCAATCAGGAATGATGATTTCTTGGCACTGTTTTTCAACAATGATAATTCAGTAAAAAATAATGGCAAACTATTTTTAGACACCAATGAAATTAATGTTTGGGATAAAAGGAACATACCAAATGATTATTTTTTAATTTAATTCATTTCAATATTGAAAGTCTGAAAAAAAAAGATGGTTTGGCTGAATTTCTTCTTGAATTTCAATCCTAACCCAGAAAATTTCAAATTAGCAAATAAACTTTGTAAAAATCAATAAATAGCGCAAAAAACAATACCTGCCTAATATATTAGAATTCAATAGACATGATATGAAAAAATCGTAGATGATTATTAATGATGCTTTGATAAGATCAGACAAAAAATGTAAATGAGGATGCATGTTTAACATCAAACGGTCATATTGTAGATAATACGCAGAATGTACTGAATAATCATTATGTTTTTATCGCTAAAAAATTGGCTAAAGGCTTTGCTAAGACAAAAGATTTTGAAAAGTTTTCGGCAAACAGAATTCAAAGCTCAATATATCTGGATGAAGTCACAATGCCTGAGAAATCTACTAAATCACTAAAGCCAAAGTTTACGTTTGGATATGATAAAATTTCAACAAAGATAATTATAGCCACAATTCAATCGATTTTGCCAGTCCTTACTTCATCAACAGTTCATTGAATGAAGAGATATTCCCAAAAATTTTCAAAATTGCAAAAGTAATACCAGTTCAATTGCAAGATTTCTAACTTTAGACCAATTTTCTTGCTCCGTGGTTTTTCCAAAATACTTGAAAAAATTAGCTTCATTTTTTGACCAGTTTAATGTAATTTCCAAGAATCAATTTAGTTTAAAAAAAATCACTCTACCGAAATGGCAATAATTCAATTAATTCGCAACATTGGAATGGCTGCTGAAGGTTAAAAGTTCACTGCTGTTGTTTTTCTAGATTTGATTAAGGCTTTTGACTGTGTTGACCATGAAATTTTGTATTTTTGCCATTTGTGTATTTATATGTATATATATCGATTGATGTATTTATTGTCTATTGAAATAGCAATTTGTTTAGCAATAAGACAAATGAATATTAAGGTATATTATTTGGTATATCATAGAGGCATTACTTTTACTGTAATCCAGTACCATTATGATTTATTAATTTTGTTGTGAAATCGCCTTTGAGATATTCTAGGTTGGCACTGTATGTGTATTTTATTATTGTTTATTGAAATAATTTTTTTCCCTTTTTAATTTTGTGTAAGGTGTCTTTACTCGATAGGTTACTTGTTAACTTTTTACGGTCATCTTGTCTTCTGTTTTCTTTTGTTTTAGAGACAAATAAAATGTATCGTATACTACATCCTATCGTATCGTACATCAGATATTTATCAGCTGCAAAGATTTCAAAAATCTTTTAAAGTATCACACCTTCAAAATGGCAAAACATCATTTGCCACTGTGAAGATAACTTAACTAACAGAATCTACAATACCATCTAATGCAGTGCAAAATAAATAAAATTATTGATTTGATGATGACTGTGATGGTGATTGTGATCATGAAAATAATGATGATGACGATGATAAAATAATAACAGAGATGAAAACGACAGTGAAAAAAATGATGATGACCTGATCAGGAAGCGAGAGTGGGTAACTGTCACATAGCCAAAATCTGCTTTTGAATCTAAAAAAACAAAACAAATAGTCAACATCATCAGAGTGTCGGAGTCGGAGATTTTTGTCGGTGTCGGAATTTTTTAAAGGACCGGGGTCGGAAAATGTTATTTATTTAAAAAAAATTGTATTTTTTTTTAAATTTTTTAAATATTGCGTTTTTTAGAAAATAAATATGTATAGCAATAAGGAAATATCTTTAATACTGAAAATAAAAGCAAGGAATATAAATAAAATCCCATAGTTATGTCCGTATGTTGTAAAACAAAATTTCGTTTTTTCCCGATAGAGGATTTATTTGTATTTTTCACAGCTAAATTCACACTTATGTCGCACTGTCATTATATGCTTTGACAGCTGATATGGCAAGACTTGTGTGTGAATAAGTTCAATTGATTTTCAAATGTAGGTAAAAATGCTGTTCAAGACAGAAAGAAATTAACTGATGTGTATGGAAAAGATGAGTTGACAATACACCTGTGCCAGAACTGGTTTGCAAAATTTCGATCCGGCAATTTTGATGCTGAAGATGCACCACGTTCTGGAAGGCCGGTTAAAGATGATAAAGGCACGATAAAGGCATTAGTTTATGCAAACCGGCCAATAACAACAGGTGAGATCGGTGAAAAGTTAAATTTATCGAGTTCAACTGTTTATGACCACCTATGACCTCAAAGGTTTAACCTGGGTTTAACCTCGAAGCTTGATATATGGGTTGGTTTCATATGCCATCACGAAGAGAAATTTGTGTCGTCGCATTGACGTCTGTGTTTCACTCCACGAACGTCACGAAAATGGTCCATTTTTGAAGCGCATCATTAATATGCCCCAAAGAATATAAAAAATATAAAAATAATCGAATATAACAATGTCAAACGCAAGAGATCATGGAGCAGAAATGAGCCAACTCAAAGAATTTCAAAGGCCGATATCTATCAAAAAAAGGTGATGCTGTCTGGTGAGATTTTAAAGTCACTTTTTTGAGCTTTTACCGGATAACACAACAATTAATTCGGAACTGAATGATGCACTTCAACCGAAAAGGCCAGAATTGATCAACAGAAAAGGTGTTGTGTTCCACCAAGATAATGCGAGACCTCATACAAGTTTGGTCACTCAACAAAAAGCTTTTACAGCTTGGATGGGATGTACTGCCACACTCACCATATTCTCCGGACCTGGCCGCTTCGGATTATTATTTGTTCCGGTCACTGCAAAATTTTTTGGAAGGTAAAACCTTCCTCTCAAATGAGCACGTCAAAAAATCACGTGGATCAGTTTATTTTGCCAGCAAAGACTAAAAATTTTATGAGCGTAGAATCATGCTACTACCATAAATATGGCAAAAAGTGTTGGACCAGAATGGCCAATATATAATAATTTAATTAAATATTTATTCATTATACGAAGATCGTCTTTCATTATCGCCACAAAATAACGAAATTACTTTGCGAATAACCTTCTAAAAATAAAGTAATTTTACTTACAAAAACACTTACATTGACTGATGTTTGTTTGAAGTATTCTTTATTTAGTAATGATAATATGATGAAATTATAATGCAAAAGTTGGAAATTTTTTTAGCATACTTTAAAAAGTAAATAAAGTTATTTATATAAAACTTTACTCCATAAATGACAGGTTGTTATTATTAGCTTTCCATAATGACCAGTATTATTATCATTACCATCGCTATCATACTCATTATTAATTGGAAACGAAAATCAATCAATCAATCTTCGTTTTGCGTCCAGAGACCCGGTTTCCGGAGGTAGGACGTTGTTTTCTTTGCCATCAACTTTTTGCGCCAATTAGACGATCAGTTGTATCCATTTCATTTAAATTTAGAGCTTTCATGTCTTGCTCGATTATTTGCGACCAGGACTTCTTTGGACGGCCTTTGGGACGTGTGCCAGGTACTTCAACATCTGCAAGAGAAGTTATGGCACTGTTTCCACTTCGTTTGACATGACCAAACCACCGCAGACGGTGTTGCCGGAATTCATCCTTTATATCATCTAAACCAGCACGACGCAGGATTTCAGTAGATTTGATGTGGTCCTTCAGACTAATTCGTTGCATCCATCGGAGCATTTTCATGTCGGTTCGTTGAAGTTGTTGTTCCAGTTTGGTTGTTATTGGCCATGTTTCTGCACCATATAACAACACCGGACGTATCACAGATTTATAAAGTCTTGATCGTAATGGTAGTGGGATGTCAGAGAGGCAAGGAGATGCCATTTATTCCAGGCTGAACGTATGCGTGCTCGAACGGCAACTTCAGCTGTTCCAGTACAATCCAGAAAATCCCCTAAATATTGAAACGATGTGACTTTCTCTACCTTAATGGCTTCAAAAACAGTGCTATTTCGAATTTGTTGTTGTGAATTGATGCAAGCAGGTCAAACAAAATTGGACACTTTAGATAAAGTACCAATTATTTTTGAACAACGTTTGTGACACCATTACTTACACTGCTGACACTTGATTGAATTGTTACTTACACCAGCTTTACAAACTGAACAGGGCCATCGTCCAGTAGCTGTGGATTGGATGGGTTCACCAGTGTTCATTGCTTTGGTTTTGCTGATGTTGACTTTGAATCCATGATCGGCGAGTCTGGTGTTCCAATCTTCAAACATCTGTGCTGCATTCTGCTCAGACGTGGCTGTTAAAACGATATCATCAGCATATACTAGATTTCAAATGTCACCAGTGCGTATCGGTTTTGTGATTTCTTTCATCACAGTTATAAATAACAGTGGACTGAGAATCGAGCCTTGGTGAACTCCAACGCCGATGTCAAATGCAGTACCAGATGCTTTGATAATGTCATTTGTGAGTCCAGAGGGCCCTGCTGCCTTTCCATCTTTCATAGCTTTTAGAGCTTCTGTAAGCTCCTCTACAGTGATTTCTGGAATCGGACCTTCGATGGGTGGAGTGTCAAAGTTAACATTGATGGGATTTGTTTCGTTTAACAGACGGTTGAAGTATTCTCTCCACTGTAGCTTGATCTCATCTTGTTCAAGAACCATCTCATTTTTGTCGTTTTTGATACATGAGGCACCAACTATGTCTTTTTTCGTACGCTTTGCTTGTTTTGCTATACGATACAGAGATTTCATTTGTTCACCTTTGCTTTTAGTGAGCCACTCTCTGCACTGATCTGTCCGAGCCAGTGCAACTTGACGTCTTGCATAGTTGTTCTTCTCACGGAAAATTTTATGGTCATCAAAAGACTTTGATTTTTGCCATT